AAATTTGTCACAATAATTTTATGTGTAGGAGGATCAAAAGTTTCATACAATGATTATACATTCTCAAAGGTAATTAGATGCTCAATTGGATTAGCATGCAGTTGTACAATATTCCAATAGCTCCCAATTTACAAAAGGGTTCAGAACTTTTATGGGACTATCTTGAACTTTTATGTCATAATTTGCATATGTTCATAAAAAGACTTATTCAACTATCCTTAGTTTCAACAGCACTTTAACAAAGCTTAGAAGAAGATGAAGTTATGTTTACGGGACTCCTCAACACAAATTAGTATCACATAATCATTCCCTAGTAGCTTTTACAGTTTTCACCTGATCGTAATGTTGTTTTTAATCCAATCTTAATCATAAACATCAGAAAAAAAATGGTCATAATCACCATTTTTTTTAACCCAAACTTCCAGATCTTGCTACAACTACACAAATCACAAGCAAACATCAAAACATTCTTTCCAACCGTGCACATCATTGAAACATATGATTTAGCACATATACATCAAGTTTTAGATGACTGGAAGAAGAAAGAACAAATCCAAACAGCCCTTAAATAATCTTAACTGAACAAATTTTAGCATTAATTGCTAGAGATTATGATTCACAATTATTGAAAGAAACCAAAAGTTCAATGCTAAATGGTTCTAAACAGTAAACTAACAGAGAAGCTATCGTTCTTATAAACCACTTACCAAAAAAAAAAAAAATTGCGATTCAGTGGTAACAAGAAAAGGATCCACCATGAAAACATAAATAAAAAAAAGCTGAGGGATTAAAGTCATACCCTCAAATGCTCAGAGAAAGGAGAGGATTACCCTATCGACTTATGGGAGAAGAGCATAAAAGAGAGCGGGATCTTTTTTTTTTGGGGCAGAAGAGGGAGCCGAGCGGATCTGTTAGAATGAAATACGTGAGGCCTACGGAGAGAGCAAAATGGTGCGGGGCAGTCGAAGGCATCGGGAAGGAGGAGAGGAAGCCACGCCCCGGTTGAGTGTAAGAAAAAAGGGGAGACTTCGTGGGGCGGTTTTAAGGGATTCGCAAGGGAGCGCAGGGCAAAGAGGGCAAAGACGATCGGTAACGCGGGGCCGCGGGGTCGATCCCGCGGCCCGCATTTTGCCTATTTTAGCTGCTGAAGGCCGCGAACGCGGCATTCAAATGATAATTTTTTTCTCCGCTTCGTGATTTGGGGCCGCGCTGCGCGAAATACTCGTATTTCATTCCCATGCTTAATAGGGAGATATTGGAGAGGCTATGGTAAGATTGTGATTACACCACTTATGTTTTTCTTCTGCCTAATGTTAGCATAATTTTTGCGTCATATCTTTCTTCATTGTTTGCCTTTAAAGTGGACAGTAAGGGTACGCCTGTTTCGGTTGTAACTGTACGAAATCTCAGTTCAAAATTTGTTGTGAAAAATCTGCTGTTCAAAAGCTAGTATTTCAGAAACAGTTGCTCTGTTTGAAAAATATAGTTTTGAAAATGCTGTCTGTGAAAAAATATTTGTAATACCCCCGGTAGATATTATCTAAAATTCATATGATTTGTCAATGTATAGAATTCTCTTTTTTAACTGTTGCTTAAATAAGCAGGAATACAAAAGTAAAGTCAATTAAATCATAGAATAAAGAGAAGGCTAGATTTTAGAAATTGCAAATGAATAATGAGAGAGAACAAAGAAATAGGTATACACTATTAACTTTTTTAAACGTCAAATACACCTTTTCAAGCAAAATTTATGACAATTGTACTAAGACATATAAATCCATAAGAATTGTGTGGTGTATATCTAAAATTCACAAATTTTATTTAATAAAAAACCACAATTAAATTTAACATCATGGCCTTAAAATATCTATAATTAGCCACATATTGCCTCTATATGTTCATTTATAGAAACATCCCATTTTGCACGAAATCATAACTAATGAGGAATAACCTCTAGCTTTAGAGGACCGGCCTTTGAAGTTTGAGCTTTCTGAAACTAGCTTTTTAAAATTGATCATTCTGAAACTGATTTGAACCCAAATTTGAACATGGTTCAGACCTATATCACTAAAATATTGGGTGATTTACATATATACCACACAGGTTTTATGTATCTATCTATTTAACACCTAAATTCAGATATTTACACATAAAACACTTCAGAATCGTAATCACATCATAATATATGCAATAAAAAGACCGGGTGATTTATATATATTCCACAGATTCTCAAAGGCTGTAAAAAATTAAGAAGAATCAAATACTCAGATGTATAATGTTCTACACCAGTTGGACTCACTGGCACTCCCTAATTCATTGAAATAATTTGATCGTGCCTAATCCAATACAAGAAAACATACTCCCACCTAGAAAAACTGCACTAGCTCAAGCGAAGGAAAAAACGGCATTAGCGAGGTCCAGATGACCGGCTTCTGCTATCAGAGAATGATGAAAAAGAGAAAGGTTGAGGATGATGCCGGTAGAATGCGTGACATTGAGGAGTGAAGCTTAGGAAGCCGACTCTGTCTGCGGGGGTCTCGGGGAAGAGAAGGAGAAAGCTGGGATTTGAGTCGAGCTCTGAACTCTAACCGTTTTATTCAGCAGAGAACTGATGGCAACATGCAGCATTTCTCACGGAGGCGGAGATGGGACGTGAGGATGACAGAAGCAGCGGATCGACTTCGCTCTCGCCAGGGCAGAAGAGTCGAAGGCTGGGGGAAGCCGCGGAATAAAATGAGGGAACAGAGTAGTTTTTGCGTTCAGGATACTATTAACCACCGAACCTAGTTTACAAACGGAAGTAACAAGACATGCGACTCAAAAATGGAAGAAAACCATATTTATTACAGATGGTGGTTCAAAAGTCTGAAACAAACACACCTAAGACTTCATGCACCCAAAAAAATCCTTAAAAATTGAGGAATTTTCTGTTTTGTTTTGTTATGTTGTGATTATGATGGTTATTATTATTATTATTATTTTGTGTCTCAAGCTACGACCTAGATGCCACACTAAGTTGGGGCATAATGAAAAAGAAAATCCCAATATTTAGATATTTTCATGAGTGAAGCATTATTCTAAAATGGAGAATGCTCATGGATAAATCTGTTGCATACAAACTCACCCTGAACTTCATAAATTTCCAGTTCGATGCTCATTACTAAATTTTCTGCACCACTCTATCCAATTTTAAGTTTGAACTCTCCTAAATCCCGTTCATGCTTCAAGTTGTTTAGTTAATCTATGGGTTGGGATTTGTTTGCGGAGTTTGTTGGAAAGTTGATGAAATGATAACCCTGATGCAGCTGCATATGTAGACTTCTTTAAACGGGGTTGAGCTTCCTATAATAGAATATTCCACTTGCATCACAAGCTAATCTTATACGCCGAGAAGGGAATTGTCAGCCATGTTATTGGGTTTTGGGTTAATGATATGGTATAATACCCGAATAACTTAAATTCCTGTATCAGAATCTCAGTAGTAGTAGTATTGATGGTTATCATAGCTAGTGTAATTAGCTGACATACTTTGCTGTAATGTTTAATACCTTCAACTATGATTATGCTTTAGTATTGGGTTTTGGGTATAAAATATCCAAATAACCCAATTCTGCAGTGGAATTTCAATCATATTTGTATGATATTTATCATAATTATGGCATTAATTATAATGATATTGGTGAGTTGTGACGTGCTTTACTGCAGCGCATAATGGCTCAATATCTGTTTTTCTATGCTTTCATCGTTGGTCTTCAGTTTTATTTCCTTTTTTTTTTCTTTTTTTGCTCATTTGGGCCTTTGTACCTTGGCTTAAGCTTTTCAATTATGATATACTTCTTGTGGATAATACTAGAGAGAGTTCAGAAAAATACTTGAATTATGAATGTAAACTTAGAGTCTAAAAACTTTCGTTTGAGTAGATCTAAAACTGAATATATGGAATCTAATTTAAATAATAGTAGATTTAGTGGCGGTGTTGTAGCAATGGGTGATCAAGTCAAAGGAGTGAACATTTTAGATATCTTGAGTTATTGTTCAAAGTGCTGGTGATATAGATGGGGGTGTTATTAATAGAATTCAAGTTCAATGATTGAAGTAGAGGAAAGCATAAGGAAATTTTTATAAGATGACGGTGAAACCTACGAGGCTTTTTGGAGCATAATGTTGGCATGTAAAAGAGAAGCATAAAATTAAGTGTTGCTGAGATTGGAATGCTTAGGTGGATGAGTGGTTTTACACTTAGGGACAAAATGAGAAATGAATATATCTGTGAAAGGGTTAGGGTAATTCCAGTGGCGGATAAAATTAGAGAGAGTTTTCTTAAGATGGATTGGTCACATTAAATTTCGATCATCTGGTGACTCTGCTAGAAGAGTATATGTTTTAGATTTGACTTGCGCTAAGAAAGGTAAAGGTAGACCTAAAAATACTTGGGCATGTTGTATAAAAATGATCATAATTTATTAGAATTAAATTAAAATATGACCCTCAATAGGAGACAATGGAGGAAAAGGATTCATGTTTGATTTTGTTCTGTTTTCACAATTCCATGTTCTTGAATCATGTTAGCTTTTATGCTCCAAGCCTTAGGGTCATGAAACAGCTTTTCTAGTCTCCTTTGCAACAAAACTCTCTTCAAATTCCTTGCTATTTTAGTGGATAAATAACGAATAATTTCACATATTACGATTAAATACTGGAAAATTTACATACATACCACAGAATTTATATGTATTTACATATCTGACACATAAGCTTCAATTTTTACAAAAATGCCACCTTACCTATGCATAAAGAGGTGTACTGCACTTCTTAAAAGTTCAAGTGGTGGTTGTGATATGAAAGATTTGGATATAAATGTAATAATTAAATTTTAGGTGTTAAATATGTAAATACATATGAATTCTGTGGTATTTATGTAAATGCCTCTTAAATATTTAATACTTTTCTAAACCATACAGACTCACTTTGTATATATTAACTTTGCTTTCACTGTGAAGCTATCATCCTTGCGCCAAGAACTGGAGGAGGCAAAACATGCCATGATGGAACTTGAGAAGAAGCTCAAGTTCAAAGAAGAGACTGCTGCTGCAGCTATAGCTGCCAGAGATGCGGCGGAGACTTCTCTAAGGCTAGCAGACGTAAGGACAGGCAGGTTGAGGGAGAGGGTGGAAGAGCTAACACGCCAACTTGAACAGTTCGATAAGAACGATTCGACAACGAATCGAAACAGTCACAGATATGTATGTTGGCCATGGCAATGGCTGGGATTGGACTCTGTAAGATACCAGACAGTTGAGCAGCAGAACTCCAATGAGATGGAACTGTCAGAACCACTTGTTTAGGTTTGTAAGGTCTTTTCCACACTTTCAGCAATCTTCTGTAATTCCTCAAGGGCTGGAATGCAAAATATAGTTGTCCTACAACTCTCAAATTAATTATTTGTAGGTGAAGATCTCTGTATTTTTTACTGCTTTTTCTCATTCTTTCCATTCGGTTTCTTTTTTAAAGAACTTAATGTAAAAATCATTAATTGCGATCCCAAAGTTGATGAGAGAATAGAGATGAAGCGCATTTGATTGCCTTTCATAAATTTAGTCATCTGTAAATGATTATAGTAAAAAAATGTACTTGAATTGATCATGAATACTATTTTTATGAGATTTTGTCAGAAAAAAACTTGTGTTGGAGTGGAGTAAACAAAAGAAAAGTTATTAATCTGAAAGTGATTTGAATGTAGTGAATAAACTTGTTGAGATGAATCTTGCAGGTGATAAGATGATTGTTATTACATTATAATTTAATTTTTAGGAATATTTACAAACATACTATGTATTTATATATTTATAACACCTAAACTTCAATTTTTGCATGCATTACACCTTAGCTATGCATGAAAGGGTGTATTTCAATATTTTAGTATTTAAAATGGTAGTATTTTTTATGTGATATGAAGAATTTGGTTAGTATAAATGTAAAAAATAAAATTTAGGTGTTTGGTATACATATAAATTGGGAAGGTATATATAAGTAAATGCCGCACTTTTTTTTTATTATTTTTTTTTGTGTTAAAATCTTCTCTTGCCTGTTCGCTTTCAAGTTGAATTTAAAGGGAAAAATATTACATCAGGACTCCTAACGTAGAGCTATGTTCGGAGTCTAATGAAATGATGCCACGTGCAGGTGACAAAAAAATTTTAAAAAAATCGTTTTAATGTAGAGTAGTATTCCCTCCATGTTATTTCACATTATTTAAGTGTTATTGTAGTGATATTATTGTGTTATTGTGTTCTGAAAATATCCTTGGTGTTATAATAATATATTAACACATCAATAACACCTGAATAACAGGAATAACACTGGAGGAATATTCTCTTATATTACCGGATCGGATCACATGAAAGCGCACGTTTCCTTTAAGCCACGTGTCCACATATCAGTGAATTCCGAACGTAGCTCTACGTTAGGAGTCCTGATGTAATATTTTTCAAATTTAGATAGGGTTTAAAATATTAATTTTGGTTAAACAGCTAAAACGCATTGTGCATATTTCGAAAATAGATAACATTTATTGGTGAATGATGGCGATTTAAATTGAAGATTAAGGTTATAATAAATTAAATTATGTGAAGAAAGATTTGAGAATGAAATAAGATAAAAATTATGATATTGTACGCTATGCTGAACAAGGAGCACTCTCTGAGGAGAAAGTTTACACGTTATCTCTCAGCAACTTTTACGTCACATATATAGCAAAACAATAATTTTTCTATGCAAAAATTCTATAGTGATTTTATAGATACCCAGACAAAATATAATAGACATTAGTTAAATTTGGGTGTCAGATATGTGAATAAATGGGAATTGTGAGGTATGTACGTAAATGCCCCTATGAAAGACTCGAGTGTTATGTATGTAAACATTTTGTTTGGGCGCGGCGCAGGATAAGGAAATTCATAAGAATTCTGTGGTATGTATGTAAATGAGACTTAAAATAAAAAGATTATTTTTAAGAACGTCTGAAACATTTATTGATACATCATCAACAAATTTTGTTATTTGACATGAATCCCAAGATGTTTGGCACAGATCTTAAGGTATTTTTTGGGAACATTCAAACGTAAATTAAAGATAAGTTTGGGACGGCTGCTGCTTTTTTAATAATTTCCTGTAAAGCTGCTTCCTTGAGTAGCAGCTTTTCAGGAGCTGCCAAAAAGTTCATGATGAAGAAGCATGTGTTTGGGAGATCTATTGTGCTGCTATTATTTTTGCTGAGAATACTGTTTTGCCGTTATATATGTAATATATTGAAATAAGTACAGTTTTCAGAATATTCAGAATTAAATAATAGAAAGAGTTTCTACTGCTAAAAAACTGACAGTTCAGTCAAAAAATACTCTAATACATAAGAAAAAGATTAGCTATTTGAAGCAAACAACTACAATAAAGAGAACAACAATGGTAATCAGCAAGTCTAAAATGATGTTTGACTTGAAATCCTGATGATCGAGTCTTCAGGATAATCTCCTCTCCATCATTGCATCTCTTCTCGACTGATCACAGTCTCGAGGTACCTCGTCAGTGTTATCAACCCACCAGAAGCAGACGCGATGTGCAAGAGTCATGGTACTAGGACAAGAATAAAATCTTCTTCTGTAAGCTACCTTCCCTCCTGGACTGGTATTGAACACACCTGCCACCACAATAACAGAATGGAACTTTCGAATTGCTTGATTTTCTCGAGCTCATATTTCATGTTATTATAATATAATATTACTCTAATTAAAAAAAAAATAAGTTAATACAACATTCGAGAAATTCTAAAAAAATGTAAACTCTTAAAATTAAGAATTAAAGTTTATCGGTGCAAAAAAGAAAAATAAGAAAAGTACAACACCGTTTGCTATATATAATTTGAAAAAATACATCCTGAGAAATACATGAAGATAAAATATAAATCATTAACTACAAATAACTAGGTGTTGCTACATAAGTAATTTCATTGCATTCACCAAGCATCAACAATCTTCTCTCTCAACTGTAACATCTTCTCGACACATTCTCTCTCAGAAATGTTGTACTCGTTCGTCCTACATTTCTCTTTTTGCACCGAAGGTCTGGCTGATGTTGGTCAGCTTCCTCAGGCATGTAGGTAGGATCATCATCTAAGACCCTGAAATTGATACCATTTTGGGATGGATGCTTCCGTGTAAAATTATAGAGCGCAGTTGTTGTGTAGACATATCTCAGAGTATGACCAACTTCTTCCATACACCGAATGCTCGTTTGATAAGACTTCATAATGACCGACATCTTTTGTTGAACAGTTCATTCCTCTTTTTAATCACTTGGTTGTTGTGCTCAAAGTGAGGGAGGCAATATCTCATGTTTGGAAATGACTTCAACAAATTTCGTTGTTGTGGATATCCTAAATCGACAAGATAGTACTTTCTAGAATAACGATAACATTACTAGGTTAGGTCAAACATAAATATAATAGTGACAGATTAGTTAAAGACACAAACCTTGGGGAGGCATTGAGAATTTGTATTCATATGACTTAGGTCTAACAAAAATATAATTGTTAGGAAACACCATCATAATTATTTATATGACTTATGTGGTTAATTACTCATGTATCTGCCCACTAAAGCTCATCAAAATAGCCTTCTACTATAGCCTTTGTGGCCAACTGACGCTTTTGCAGTGACCCACTACAACCTATGTTGCTAGTTACTACTGTAGCTTCTCACTACGACCTAAGTGAAAAACTGCTACTACAACTCCCCACTATAGCCTTGGTGGCCAACCAACTGTACTACAACTCCGCACTATGGCCTACATGTTCTATTGTTGTCATTACAACCTTTCACTATGGCCTATATGACAAATTGCTACTGCAAATTCGAACAACATCCTCTATAACCAAGCAACACTATTAAATCTCTCCACTATAGCCCACATGATCAAATGTTATCATTACAACCTTCCACTACGAACTATGTGGCAGCTCCTAACTACAGCTTTGGCGGCCAACGAACGCTACTATAGCTCTTAATATAACATATCTTGCCAACTACTATCATTACTACCTCCCACTATGGCCTTTTGTGGTCAACTGACGCTCCTGAAGCTATCAACTACTACCTATGTAATGTTTACTATGAATTTTAACTATTGCCTCAACGACAAGAACATGCTATTACAACCAATGCCAACAACATTTGTGACAGACTACTGTCTTTATAACATCAACTATGATCTTTGTGGCCTGTTATCCCTATTATCTCCAAGAACTACAACCCGATTGCAACTATTATTATTGAGCTATTGTTAGACAATTATAATTATCAACTTTATAATTCCCTCTTACCTAATTCAAGAGAAGAGTGTACCTAAGTACCTATAATCACAAAGTGGACTACTTTAACTATGCGAGACCTTATGATTTAGTCCTTTGCCAAGATTTTTCACGTAAAAATTTCTGGTGTCAATTTCATTTTTTTTAATTATTTGTGTGTGATAAATATTCGTATAATTTATCTTGGGCAACTCTTTCTCTTAAGACGAAGGTGGAGGTGGCGCTGAGTCCTCATCTACAGGCCTTTTTCCCTTTCAGGTCCCGATTGGTCCTCCCCCCGAAGTTCAAACTCTGAGCCTTTATCGTCCTCAGAGACAAGAACGACCTGCAGGGTAGACACATGTTGTGTGGCTGCCCTCTCCCATGGGTCAACATATGACACTCCTAGACCCCCTTATTCTCGAACAATTGGTCTGGGGGATCCTATTCTCTGGAGTTCGACTCCTTAGATTCCAATAGTTTGGACGAAGTTTCCCAGAACACACCTAAGGTCCCTGCAAGCTCCAATGAATAAAAAAAAAGGGATGAAATAAAAAGAATCTACAGACCAACGTCGAATTTTCCAGAAGGCTTCCTCAGCTGAACAACAAGGTCCTTTCTCCCCAGAGGCTTCTTCGCCCTGGGCCTCTTCTCGCCACCCTTTGCTGCTGCTGCCACCATCCTCTTCTTCCTATCAACTTTATAATTCCCTCTTACCTAATTCAAGAGAAGAGTGTACCTAAGTACCTATAATCACAAAGTGGACTACTTTAACTATGCGAGACCTTATGATTTAGTCCTTTGCCAAGATTTTTCACGTAAAAATTTCTGGTGTCTATTTCAATTTTTTTTTATTATTTGTGTGTGATAAATATTCGTATAATTTATCTTGGGCAACTCTTTCTCTTAAGACGAAGGTGGAGGTGGCGCTGAGTCCTCATCTACAGGCCTTTTTCCCTTTCAGGTCCCGATTGGTCCTCCCCCCGAAGTTCAAACTCTGAGCCTTTATCGTCCTCAGAGACAAGAACGACCTGCAGGGTAGACACATGTTGTGTGGCTGCCCTCTCCCATGGGTCAACATATGACACTCCTAGACCCCCTTATTCTCGAACAATTGTTATGGGGGATCCTCTTCTCTAGAGTTCAACTCCTGAGATTCTAACAGTTTGGACGAAATCTCCCACAACACACCTAAGGACCCTGCAAGCTCCAATGAGTCAAAAAAAGGGATGAAATAAAAAGAATCTATAGACCAGCGTCGAATTTTCCATAAGGCTTCCTCAGTTGAACAACAGGATCCTCCCTCCCCAGAGGCTTCTTCGCCCTGGGCCTCTTCTCGCCACCCTTTGCTGTTGCTGCCACAATCCTCTTCTTCTCCTTCGCATCCAACTCCCCCCATAAGCTCTCAGTCACATCGCCGAAAGTTCTGGGCCACAAAACCTTCTTAATGACATCCTATTTAGTGAACTGAAATACAAAGTGTTCTCTCCCCTCGATCATGTCAACATAAACCTAATGTGCTCTGGTAAGATCTGCGGGCTTACCAAATCTTTGGTAGTGGGCAAGACAAAGACCCCCAGCCTTGACAATGTGTGGCAATCACGAACTTTGACAATTAATCCTCTACTTTGTTCTCGACCCCTATCAACCGAAATTTGTGGTCGAATGAAAACACCACATAACCGTCCCGATCAACCTTGAAACCAAAAAAAAAAGAAAACAGTTCAGTAGACCACAGAATCTCCATCCGTCGGAGATAGAAGACAAAGGTCATGATTATGACGACTAAGTTTGGTGTAAGTTGCGCGGGGAGAATACTAACTATTGGGGATAGAACTCATCTAGCTGCAAAACGACAGCCGCAATCCATATATGAACTGGTCGACATACACAGCTGAACTATCATCGTAGTCGTTTGCCAATTTTTCTCCCTTCATAGTCGCTCGAAGAAGAATATCCAGCCCAAAGTAAACGACTTAAATAATATTGTTGCTTGTCTGTGTATAACAACTGACAACAATCCTAGGAGTTCACACTGAAAAAATCTGAAGAAGACTAGGGAGCTATGGCGTGATAGAAAGGGGAGATGGTCACACAAAAGAGAATAGAAGAAGCGTGGGGAGCCGAACGTTTGTTTCGCAAAAATTATAATACACAATGGAATATGAAACGATACAAGAACAACACACACACACACACACACACACACATACATATTAATGAAATAAAGTATATTTACACTTGTTTCACCATTTACAATTACTCAACCAGAACGAAAAAAAAAACTTTACAAAATTATCGTCTGAAATCTCAGCCAGAGTCATACCCCAACTGAGACAACAACTTCAACATCAATTCTCCCCTTGTTTTAACCTTATCTACTCTATTCATCTCAGCATACAACCGGGAGACGGCGGTTCACTCTGTTTTAAGGGACATCAACTCCTCTTGATGAGCGGCTTCGAGAGTCTTGACCGCGGCTAACTCCTCCAACCGTCCTAGATGCGCTTCACGAAGGTGGTCACCTTTTCGAGTCGACGAAGCTTGAGTCCCATGAAGAAAATGCTTAGCCAAACCAAATGGACCGATTACGTTTGGTGTTCTTGCTGGGCTCACTGATTTATCTCCAACCGGCCCTCCAAGGTGCCTAGAATCCTCGACGGATCAGAAATCCATTGTGATGTTGGCTTCGGGAGCCCCATGTTCAACAAGAGGCAATCTTGATACCCTCACCAGAAGACAGATCCATCATCGGTTCCAAATCGGATGTGGTAAAGGAGAACACTTCTCCCCCAATCTCCTTCTCTGCTGGCGGAGGTTAAGAAGCGGGCTGAGATGTACTAGCTCTGAATGGCCAGGAGCATACCCCTTGTTCACTCATCCCCAACACCTCCAGAGGTAACATATCAAAAGCAGGTTCTTGACCCTGCTCCTCCCCCAGCTCAGGAAAGATTGGGAGAGAAGAAGCTAAGTCTGTTTGATCGTCATCTAGACGCCTTCTTGCCATCACGTGACGTTTCTTCACAGGAAACCCACCTTGCCATTAGAGAAACCTCGACTGAGCAGCCATTTTTTGAATTCGAAGATCCCACCTCAACTACCTATTCACATGTCCTCAAGTTGTGTACGACGTGTTTCCCGGGCCGTTCAACCATAGAGACAGACCTCGCCCTCTTCTTTATTATCTAAAACACCAATGTGTGAGCCTTCTTGCTAACAAATTTTGGTTGTTGTCCTCCCTCCATACTCGACGCCACTAAGGGAATGAAAGTTGAATATGAAAGAGCGCTTCAAAGATAAGTCTCTATGTCTCATTTATAATGGATTTGGCACGAAAGTCAAGAAGTATTCAATGATTGCATATTTAATAGTCAGGAGTACCACAAACTTGTTTAAGACTTTAAATTTCCTTATCCTTATCGCATTTGTCACTATCAAAGAGCAAGAGAATAGAGAAACTTTAATATGTGTATTGAAGATGTGTTAGCACAAATCTCAAAGTGTCCCCGGTTAACAGAAGAGATGACTTGGCCCCTTGAGACCCACCAAAGACGAAGGACCGTCCACTTGCCAACTCCTGTGTATTGGGAGGATGGTAATCTCAGGTAGATAAAGAGTAGAACAACTCCTAAAGAATCTACATGATATTATCCATGCAGGCTAATCTAGTGCCCTCCAACCCACATGAGTGAAGCAGACCATTCAGCTCCAAAGTAGATGAAATCGATCCTCAACAAATGGCCACTTGGCCTAATGACCACACAACCATATCTGTGGGCCCCTGGACCATATTCATGTATAGACTAAAATACCCCCACCGTACATACGTACGCTAGGGGTACACTATATAATTGTACAAACCCCATTCCGATAAAAAGGAGGTCCATTTCATGAATAAATGTTACGCAAATTTATTGTTCAATACTGCTCTCTGCCTCTCTCTCTCTTATCCTTCAACACTGTATTCCTTAGGCGTGTCTCCTAGAGAGATTTGGATTCAACGGTAATAAGAACATCAACATATTTAAGACGATTCAAAAAACTAATCTGGTGTAAAAAACATATTTTATAGGGAGTCCTTTGTACCAAATAAATTTAGTCAAACATAGACACATTGTGTTGGAATAGATAGTTCTTTCAACAGCTATCAATGATAACTATACTTTCACATTCCATTAGAGTTAAACCTTGCCAAGTTTAATGATAATGGTTCACATGTCAAAGCTTATTACGATTAAAGCAGGACTAGGAAGTCCCACTTTCCATTAGAGAGTATAGAGAAAATCTTATCATCCACTATGGGGTTTAAAATTGATTAAATTTGAGGGCTCAAGTTTTTAGAAGTGAATATCCATTAATTTTGAAGTCCTAAGCTGAGAAAAAAGCTAACAAGAAACAAGCTTAATGGAAAGTCATCCTAACATTTGGGTAAAAATAGGCCTAAGCAGCATCCAAATATAAGAAATGTTTCCAGAATACCAAGTTTAGAGGAATAATAAGTCAACAACCAAAATTAGGATGCCGAAATTATAAAATCAGTTTTTCGGCAATCTTCAATTTTCATGTTGTTTTTAAGGATTGTAAATGACGTGAAGCTAAATACATTTTTGGATTTTAAAAGATCGGTTTGTTTTCATAAGATGTGAAGTTTTTTAGAAATTCCACTGCCTAGAGATCTAAAAATGTAACTGCTCATTTTCTTATAATATAATTTAGGTAGAGATAAAGATATTAGACAAATAGCTTAAAATAGAGATTTTAATAAGTTAGAATCTTCCTATGGAAGATAAAAAATTGTGCTTTCAACTGACATTCCAATGATTAAGTTTATCAATTTTTTCCTTAACTAAGGTTCATGAATGTATGAGAGGAATTCCAAGGTATTTTTAAAGAGATTGATTTACATTTGAGATTAAAAAATTCATACAAAAAAGCTATAATTAACTACAATTTTAGAAAAGCAAATCATAAACTTGTTAAGATTAAGCATATAAGGTTATACATATTCATGGGAGATGAGTTGAAATTCCAACTTAGGAATAACTATCATTGATAACTTTAGAAAATATCCCTACCAGTTGCAAAAAACAAAAAAAAAGGAAGAAGATAAGGTAGCCATATCTTAAGCTATCATGGATTTGAAAATATTCATGAAGCTAACAAGTGAAAAAACTGATGAAACTCACCATTAATGATAAAAAATAAAAACAAACATTTGAAATGCAATTCTCAATCCACAAGACATGTTTGTTATAAATACTTTTTATCATGTTTTGAGAAGGTAGAATTTGATAATGATTGGCGACGTCAGATCGATGGTGGTCGACGGTGGTTGGCGGTGATCGATGGTGTTCGACGGTGGTTGGCGGGTGGCGGTGATCGAAAACGGTCTGCGATGGTCGAAAAAGGTCAGTGATGGTCGAAGACGATTGACATTGATCAATGAAGATCGGTGGTGGTCGACGACAGTTGACGGTGGTGGTGTTTGACTTCAGCTCCTCGAATCTTGAAGCTCTTCTTTAAATCTTAAGCTCTCCTCCACTTTATGAGAGGAGTGAGACTTTATTTATAATATTTTGAGTGTAATTAATACATGAATATGAATCACTTTGATCAGATGAATATTTGAGTGCCTTAACGATGTCGAAATTGAGCAATATTGGGCTCGCTGAATTTATTTGACTGAATTTATTTGATCAAGACGTTCGATTTGACTATAGGTTTGTTAGATTCGACATTCGTTTGACCATCTAAATATGACTGTAAAACTTCTAAGTTTGTTATAATAACTTGATCTGAGCTTAATTTGACTCAGATTGGACTAATTTTGATATCATTGGATCTATTTCGTTAAACTGGTCAATTTGATTATAAATTTGCTGAAATCAGAGCTCTAGATGACTTTCTATCAAGGTTTGATTATTTCTTACTCAAAAAATTACCTCGAGATCCGTGCTAGCCCTATCATGTCTCATTATGTCCCACCTTATCTCAAATAGCAAAGTTGCTTTAACACACAAGATGTAAAGTAGAAGCAAGGTAATCATCTCATTCGGGTTTCATATTGCAATCCCTGAAGTGCACATAAACTCTATTTTCTCAATACTTAAAACAGCAGAAAACTGCTTTCACAAGGCTTCTCCACTTTCCGTTGCCGCCAACAGTCTCCTTACACTTGAATGATTACACAAACCTTCTAGACACCCAACAACTGCTTATATTACCCATCAAAAAGCCTACAGCTACTCTGAGCACAACAACATGTCAAACCTTCTCCTCCTCCTTGCAGCCTTATTCTTGCTCTCATGGCAGCCAACATTGGCCGCACCACTTTCGACAAATTCCCGCTGGATTGTCGATGAATCAGGGCGGCGGGTGAAGCTGGCTTGTGTGAATTGGGTAACCCATCTTGAGGTTATGGTAGCCGAGGGGCTCAGTAAGCAGCCTTTGGATGTTATCTCCAAAAGCATAGCATCTATGGGATTCAATTGTGTCAGGTTCACATGGCCGCTTTTCCTGGTCACCGACGGCAATTTGTCATCGCTTACGGTTAGACAGTCCTTCTTCTCCCTTGGTCTTAATGAGTCCCTCTCTGCTGTCGAAGTGAACAATCCAACTCTGGTTGATCTCCCTCTCCTTGAGGCTTACAAGGTGAGCACAGTGTATTTCATTGATGTTTTCATGAGTAGTTTACCGAAATCTGTTAAGGAGGAAACGTGTTATTTTAGAAAAGGATTTACCAATAGAAAATTAGGACATCTACATACATTCCATTTAATTCCTATGCAGACCTAAACATCAATTTTTACATACATGCCATTATACTTAATGTACAAAAAGATGTATTTCACTTTTAAAATGTTAAAATGATGATATTTTTCATGTGATATAAGAAATTGGAAAAATAGAAATTTAGGTGTTTGCTGTGTAAGTAAATAGGAATTGGGGAGTATGAATGTAAATGCCCCTAAATTTTGATGTAAAATAACAAGAAGAAAGGCGTATAAGAACCTAGGAGATTTTTTGCTTGAGATTTCGGCAACGATGCTGTAAAGCCAGTGTTAACGCATGTTTCCTGTAAGAAAGATGGGGAGATAAAATTAGATGACGGTATTTTATATCTTTTTTAAATGAGATAATCTGAATATAGAAAGAGTGTCGGAACCCATACCAATTTTCAGGATTTTTCAATGACGTTTAATGAGAGTAGGTGGAAGAGGGCGCAAAGTCTGACGTACAACGTCATAAATTGACTGTATATCTCTCGAGCTAATTCTTATAATGGTGAAAATGATTATTATATTTGGAAAAATTTTTGCTTATTTTGTCCGGACGTAAAACTGTGTCCGGACAACGGCGGCAATTCTCCGATCACGGCTGAGAGAAAGAAAAAAACGCCGCGATCAAGTGAATCATGCGTTGTACCGTTCCGGACAATGTATGCAAAAATCACTCTTATATTTGAATTGGTTTTGAGAGGGTTTAAGAAGTTTAAAATAAATGTGATTTTAATCACTGTAAATTCATAAAATTATACTGCATTTAAAACTGCTGCGAAAAATTATACTTGCAGCACTTATTCAAGCTTAACAGAATTTAAAAAAATATAGCTAGAAAGTACAACTAAGAAAATTAACAGATATTAGCTGCTTCACCACTGAATAATTCAAATCATACTTCTGATCAAATTAAGGATTTGTTAACTTTTAATTTTTTAAATTATAGTTTCAAATATATTGTTATTCATCACAAAAACAGTAACATGCTGCACAATCGTATGAATTTATATATCTAATGCCCAAAATTGATATTTATATTTATAGCATCTTGGTTTCAAATTTATGCATGAGAATATATTTCACTTTTAAGAAAATAATGATGAATATATTTTTGATGTGACGTTAAATATTTAAGTGATATGCATGTAAATATGAATGTTTAGGTGTTACACATGTAAATAAATAAGAATTGTGTGGTGTGTATGTAAATGGCCCCAAGAAAATGAAGCCAGATGCTGACATCTTATCTGAACCAATTGGGTGGCCGTGGTTACAAAGTTAGGTGAACGACATATAAAAGCAATAAAACTTAGAAATAAACAGGTATAAAATATAATAAAATAGACTCAACAAGTAACGGCTGCTTCTAAAATATTCAAATTCAAACCTTGATATCATACCTAATAGGTTTCAAACTTGAGGGAACAACATACTGGTCGTATTTGAAAACCAGTGCTTGACCTGCAGAGAAATTTGTAATATTTCTCTTAATGAGCAATAAATTTAAAAATAAATTGTTATAAACAACAACAAAAATATATTGGTTACTTCTTTTAACAGCTCATACTTTTAGTCAAATTCAAACATTGAGATATATCTTTACCTAAGTCAATGGCAGGCTGTGGTTAGAAACTTAGGCGACAACAACATAATGGTGATATTGGACAACCACATAAGCAAACCAGGATGGTGCTGCAGTAATTCTGACGGCAACGGCTTCTTTGGAGATAAATATTTCGAGCCAGATTTGTGGGTTGACGGGCTAACTAAAATGGCTAGCTTGTTTAACGACACGGCCAATGTGATTGGAATGAGCCTGAGGAATGAGCTTAGAGGACCAAAGCAGAATGTAAATGACTGGTACAAGTATGTCTCTAAACTAACACTCCACCTCAGTAGAGATATAAATGACCTCTTTTT